CAGAAGGTAGGCAGCAGCGGGGCCACCCACATCCGCCCCAGGAAGAGGGATTGTCCCCAACCCAGGGGGTGGGTCACAGTCTCCACAGCAGTGCGAGAAGGGCTGCAGCACATAGCATTGCAAAGCCCAGCCTAAACAGACTCGGTGCCGTGCATGCCTGAGCTGTTGCTTGGGGACCTGGTGGCATCCTGTTCCCGGTGCTCAGGCTCAGCCTGGGCAGTGAAAGTGGCTGCTGATTGAGGGCCTTGCATGCCGGGGCTTGGCTGGGGAGAGGAGGCACTGGGTCTTTGCCCTGACTGGGACATTGGGCTGCACATCCAGTTCCCTGCAGGTACACACTGCCCAGCTGCAGGCAGTGGGGAACAGCCCCAGTGCTGCTGCCAAGCCGAAGCACCTACATTGTGCAGCCTCTCCCCAAGGGTATAGCATGAGCTGGAGGCAGGGTCTGCAGCTGCCTGGTGACCTCCAAGCCTTGCTACTGCCAGCATTTGTCTGCAACTCCTGAAACCTCACAGAGCTGACTCATGGTGGGGGGCATCCCTGAGCTGGCTCTGAAACACCCCATGATTTGCAGGAGGAGTATAAGCCAGGGAAGGCACTGGCAGAAGAGGAGCTGAAGAATGCTATTAGCATCCACCATTCACTTGCCACACGGGCGTCTGACTACAGCAAACGACCCAATGTCTTCTACCTCAGGACAGCTGACTGGAGGGTCTTCCTTTTCCAAGCACAGTGAGTGCCCGAGGATCACTGGCTGGGCCCCATGCTAGCGTGCAGGGGCTCATCTGATGGGCGTAGACTGGGACGGGTCTTAGGGCCACATTGCTCTCTCCTGTCATGACCCTTTCTGGAAGAAAAGGGACCCAGTGTCAGTGCTGGGCTTTGCCCAGCTCCTCTTCCTACCCTGCTGGGCTCAGGATTGCTGGGGGCAGAGCCCCAGGTGCCATGGCTGGCCAGGGCCAGGCCTGGGCTACCTGATTCTTGACTGCAGGGCAGATGCCTCTGCCTTTGACACAGATAGTGCCACTTAAAGCAGATCTATGGTTTGGTCTTTTTCCCCAGGAACCCCGAACAGATGCAGTCGTGGATCACGCGCATCAACGTGGTGGCAGCCATGTTCTCTGCACCCCCCTTCCCTGCAGCCATCGGCTCCCAGAAGAAGTTCAGCCGCCCACTGCTGCCCAGCTCCTGCACCAGGCTGTCCCAGGTGGGCCATGCTGGTGAGGGAACTGTGAGCATGGGACAAACCTCCTGGCACTTTCCCCTGCAAAGGGACCCCTATGTGGTGCCATGCTCCCAGCTGCCTCCCAGCGAGGTGCAGGGCCAAGGGAGACAAAGAGCAAAGGGGTACTGAGGTTGGGGGCAGGTCTTGCTCCTGGCAGTGGAGACGGGAGTCAGGTGATGGTCAGATCATGAAGGAGAACATGGTCCCACACCATGACTTGCAGGGTCCTGCCAGGGACTTTGAAAGGCAACCGGCTGGGGGATTAGCTGGCACTTGTGCATGCCAGGGCAGTTATTCATAGAGCAGAAAGGATTAAAAAAAAACACCAGCCTAGTTTCAGAGGGATTAAATTCTTCTGCTTTAAGACTGCAGCCAGTCCCTCCATGAGGTGAGAGCAGATTGTCCTCAAGGGCTTGTGATTTTGCCTGCCATTGAAAAAAAGTAAAAATCAAACCCAGAAGCAGCAGCTGAGATCCTGGCTGGACCTAGAATGGGAAAAACCTGTTCTGCCCCTGGCCAACTCACACTACCAGGGGGACAGAGCAGGACACTGACAGGTGTCACCCTTCCCCAGGAGGAGCAGGTGAAGAACCATGAGACCAAGTTCAAGACAATGTCAGCAGAGCTGCTGGAGCATCGCAACTCACTGCCTGAGAAGAAGGTGAAGGGCAAGGAGTACGAGGAGCTAAAGCAGAAGGAAGAGTACCTGGAGTTTGAGGTGAGCTGGGAGATGTCCCACTCTGCCCCTGCCTGTTTGGCCATCCTGAGTGATGCAACCAACCCATCCCTGTCAGCTAATTGCACTGTGCCACCGCCATGGTCTAGGACCATGAGCATTCCCCCACCCTGGGATGCTAGCTGGGGTGGAGGGACCACAAGCATCCCCTTACACAGGGATGCTGGCCACGCGGTAGTACCCAGCTTGCCAACCTCTCTCTCTGCTGCACTGTGCCCCCCAGAAATCCCGCTATGGCACCTACGCCATGCTGCTGCGGGCCAAGCTGAAGGCTGGCTCCGAGGACCTGGCAGCATTTGAGTCCACCCTCTTTGACACAGCGGGTGGGGAGGATGATGGCCTGAAAAAATCCCACTCCAGCCCCTCGCTCAACGCAGAGCCCTCCAGCATGGCCACCAAGGTGAAGCGCAACATCTCAGAGCGCACTGGCCGCCAGCCCTCTGGCCATGCCCAGAAGTCGTAAGTGAGGGGCATCAGCCACCTGTGCTGCGGCTCCATTCCTGTCCCCCCCGGCACTGGGGTGGAGGCCATGTGCCCGCCGAGACCCTGCATGTGTCCATCTGGCTGGGGCACGAGCTGGAGGGGGTGACAGCCCTCCTGCAGCCACCAGCACTAGCCATGCAGAGCCACGGCCCCTCCACCGGAGACAGTGGCAGAGCAGGACAGTCCCTGGTCCCTGCCTGCGGGAGCTGCCCACACCATCGGCCCCACCAGACTCATTCCTGACCCTCCTCAGCCTGCACTTGGCTGCAGGACCTACTCTTGCTGCCCCGGGGAGGGGGAACAACTGAAACCCACCTGCTGGGCTCAATTCTTCAGTGGTTAAAAAAAGACAGAAAGGCAGCAAAACAAAGCCAGCGGCTGCTTCTTGTCCAGCTCGATCGTGCCATGGGGGTGGATGGGAGTGGCCCAGCCCTAGCCTGTCCCCTCTCCTGGGGCTGGTGGCCAGGGAAGCCAGGGCAATGGCACCTGGTTCCCTCCTTGCCACCCCAGTCACCTCTGCACCCTCCCCGCTTTCTTACAACTTTTGAACAGTTTTTGTGATACAGTTTTGCACTTTTTAGTACCAGATTGAGCTGACCACCAAGGAGGTTTTTTCGGGGCTACTTTTGATGCTTTTTGGGAACTGTTTAAAAAAAAAAACCACAAACCCAGCCATGTCCTGTAGGCACTGCACTCTGGGGGAAAGAGGTTTTTACAAGCACTCAGGCGGAGATTCAGCTCCTCCCCTGCAGCAAGCTGAGCATGGGCTCCTGTGTGTGGTGCTGCTGCCTGCTCCTCAGCTCCACTTTGGCACCAGCAACCCTGTGGGGACACAGCCCTGTGGCTGCCGGCACCAAGGAGGCAGCCTTGGGATGGCAGCACCCACTGCTGCACTTGTGGCTGCATGGCAGGCTCATGTGCTGGTGCTTCATGACCCTCCTGCCCCCTCCACCCTGACAGCCTGGACCAGCCCTGTTTGCACCGCCTGGGTGTGAGCATCATACCTGGGGCATGTTGGGCAGCAGCACGTAAGTACTTCCAGTCCCACTGCCCTATGGGTCTGGCACAGGCTGGAGCCAGCTTTCCTTCCCACACCTCGTCTCCAGTGCATGGCTGGGGCCTCAGAGGCTGCCAGCAAAGCCTGGTCTGCAGCACTGCAAGGTCCTCATGCTGCAGCAGCAGTGGTGCGGCCTTGTCCTCAGCCACAGGCTCCCTCCTTGCCAGGGTGAGGGGCAGGCTGGGGCAGTCCCCACCACTCCAGGGGGGGCTGGAGGATGCTTGTCCGGAGCAAGGTGCAGGTGATGGAGTATGGCTGCAGGATTGTCCAGAGAGGGGTCCAGGGACAGCAGAAGGGCTGTGAGCAGGGGCCTGGCACACGCAGTTCTCAGCTGCCTGGGACCTGGCTGGTTTCAGCACTGACTTTGCGAATGTGTCAAACTTTTTATTCTGCTCTTTTGAGTCTATTGCAAAAAAAATAGAAAAAAAATCCACCCTTGCCCCAGGTGGCTCAGGGTTGGGAAAAAAAACCTTTGTACAGCTTCTTCTCTCAGTTACTGAAGTAAAAATTTGCTCTTCACTTCTTGTGTGCACTGTGGTTTCTCCCCCATGGTTTGGGACAGCCCCGGCACAGCCTCCTTGCTGCCAGACTCCCAGACCCAGGCAGGGTTCAGGAGAGGTTAGTGCCCACTGGCTTAAGGGCTGGGGCTGGAGAGAGGGAGGGGGAAAAGCTAATGGAAACTGTGTCCTTTTATTCGGAAGAGGGACCATTAAATAAAAGCAGAGAGGGGCAGGAGCCGGCTGCATCCCATCCCCGAGTCCAAGAAGCCGGACCCCAAGTCCGGAAGGCACTTGTGGGCAAGGCAGAAGGCAGAGCAGCCCCCTGTGGGCACGGGGGCTGCTGGCCCCTCAGTGCACCTGTGGCTGCTGGCTGCGGGGCAGCTCACGCCCTGGCTTCAGGGCCAGTGTGGGTTTCTGCTCCTCCTCCACCGACTCGCTGCCCCCCGACTCGCTGCCGTAGGCGCTGTCTTCCTTCAGCTCTGCAAAGCAATCCCCAGGTTCTCTCAGCAATGAGGTGTCAGGGGGGCAGCAGAGACACCCCCTGCCGCCTCCCCAGCCCTTGTTCTCCGTACCTGTGCTTTGCAGCTTCTCCAGTGCCTCGGTTTTGTGGAGGATCCTCACAGCGTTGTGTAGCCCCATAGAGTCCAGCGCCTCCAGCAGTCCCCCCAGGCTGCCGCCTGCCAGCTGTGGAGAGAGGGCACTGAGCAGGGCCCATGGCCAGATAGGCACAGGGGACGGGGGCAGCCCAGCCGGGCACTGACCTCGTAACTGCGCAGGAGGCTGACGCTGGGTGAGGGCGTGTCCTTGTAGGTCTCCACCAGGCTGCAGAGTCCCAAACGCTTGGCCAGCTCA